CACTACGCCACTGTAGATAACACTGTACAGGCAATCCTGAAGGCTGGTAGAGCGGAATGGCTAAGCAAGACCGATATTACCAATGCCTTCAAGTTACTGCCTATTCATCCCTCGTTATGGCATATTCACAGGGTTAAGTGGAGAGAGAAATACTATTTTGCTACTAGACTCACGTTTGGTGCAAAAAGTAGCCCAAAAATGTTCAACACATTTGCTGAGACTCTATGCTGGCTTCTCCTAAACATCGCTAGGTGTCCCACGGTTATACACTATCTGGATGATTTTCTAATGGTGGAAGATAGTAGTCGCACGCACCTTAAAAAGCACTACAGCACAATTTACGACACTTGCTGTTTCACAGAAAACTTTCACAGGACAAGATCACTAAACCAACCACCATACTTATTTTTCTAGGTATCATGCTCGATTTAAATTCCATGCAGTCCAGTCTCCCCGAGGATAAACTCCAACGCATTTGCGAAGAGTTAGACAAATTCTTAAATTCAGTGACTTGTACACAGAAAGACCTACAATCATTATTGGGGTCACTAAACTTTGCCATGTGGATTATTCCTCAGGGGAGATCTTTCATATCTAGACTGTTATGTCTTTTACCTGGTCTGTCTGATGGAAGTACTATTCATTTAGATCCTGCGGCGAGGGCAGATCTGGTCATGTGGAAAGAGTTCCTCGCACACTGGAAAGGGATCTCGATGTTTATTCCGCCAGTGTCCGATCAAGCCCCAGTTTTCTGGATGGATGTAGCCGCTAATACCGGGTGTGACGAAAGTAACCTCGTCACTGGCTTTTGGAAGGGCCTCTTGTCTCAAGGCTATGGGCATGTCATGATTCCCTTTTATTCCAGAAGTTTGGTCCTTAAGGGGTTAAAAGGCTCTGTTCATGTGAAGTATGTACTTTTGTACTCAGAGAGACCAACCATTAGCCCTAATTCTCTGGAACTGTTTTGGGCATGGGACCATGTGCATGGTGGGCCAAAACTATGACTTCCAGGAAATTCCTGAACCCCTGATCTGATCTGGGTGATTTTGGGATATGTTGTTTATCCAGATCAAGGCTATCAGTGGATGTGGTTGTAACGGCACCCCGAGCAAAAAAGGGGTAAACCGCCGTTTAGAAGATCTTCCCCTTCCAGAGATACAGGCACAGCTACTGCAGAACACCAAACTCCCGAACCACATGTAAGGGAATGCTCCCAACTCCTGAACTGCATACAAAAAAAGCACTCCAAACTCCCGAACTGGAACCTCAAGAATAGCTGCTAGCAGACGAGTAGGAAAAGCACCCAAGCAGCTTACACTCCTAGCAATCAGTCTCTATCAGCATACAGTAAATCCCCCCAAGAACGAGACAGAGCTCCGTGTTGAGGGTCAAGCAGTGGTCTGGTTTAATGAGGGCTACCTGCCCAGTATTTATGCAGGTCTCCCACCTGGTGGACACTCCCCTAGGGGACCAAATGGGAGACTGTGACAAAGGACAGACGTGAACCAATGACAGACTCACAGAGGTAAAACATCCCCACAATGCATCCTATCTTCCCTCCCTCTGTCCTGGAGATAATTGGGAAGTAATCCAATTATCGCCCAGGACAGAGGCAAAACTCCATTAACCACATGGCAGTAAAAGACATAAAAATGTATAAAGTTACAACTGTTGCACAAAACATATACATTCTACCTATCCCCAGATAGCTTAGATCTGAGCGCACAAAAGTACCAAATAGCGCTCAGATCCTATGCACACAGTCCAATCGCCATGGAGTTAAAGTGTTCACAAAGTCTGTTCTCCATACGAATAGACTCCACGGGATGGCTATCTGGGGTAATGCTGTTCATACGGTTTAACTACTGAATGAACAGGCATTCGGTTAAATGACCGAATGCAGAAACAACAGGCAACAGGCGAG